TTAAAAGGCTAAGTTTGACTTCGGTCAAGATTTTTGAGTAAACGACCTCAGAATCGGGATTTGACGGTTCCAATAGGTTTGTATGATAATTTCGGACTTGGGCGTATGCTCGGGTCGGGTTTTGGATGATCCGGAAGCGTTTCGGCGCCTAATAGTGGAAGTTGGCATTTTTGATGAATTTTATAAATTTGGGTTGAAATGGATCTTTGCATTATAGACGTCCATTTGGGATTCTGAGCTTGGGAATAGCTCCGTATGGTGATTCTGGACTTAGGGGCGCGTCCGGAAGTGGATTTGGAGGTTCGTAGGTCGTTTTGAGGTCATTTGGCAAAAAACGGAAATTTGAAGTTTTTGGAAAGATTGGCCGAGGGTGGACTTTTTGATATCGGGTTCGAATTCTTGTTCCGAAAGTTGGATTAAGTCTGTAATGTCATTTAAGAATTGCACGCAAAATTTGGCGTCATTCCGAGTTGATTTGATAGGAATCGGACGCGCGGAAGTATTGTTTGGTGTTTTTGAGTTCATGAGTTAATCCATGCGTTTTGGCATCCGATTCGTGGGTTTTGATGTTATTTCAGTCTTTCGATTGCTCGGGGTGAATTTTGGGAATTCTTCAATTGGGGTTGGTTACTCGCTTTAATAGTTAGAATATGAACTTTTGAGCCTATATTGACTATTTTATATAACATTTGACTAGTATCGAGTCGTTTTGGCACTAAATTAGGGGTTTTAGCACAAATCTTGGATCAGAAGTAGGCTTGGGACAAGGTAAGTCTCTTTTCTATCCTTGTAAGAAGGAATTAACCCCATAGGTGAACTTAATTCATATGTGCTTCTATTTGTGGGGGGCTACGTACGCGCGAGATGACAAGAGCCCGTACGTAGCTACTACTCATGCTTATGTCCGGGTAGTTTTAGGTTTCACCATGTTTTGTTGACACCGTTATTTGATTATGCTTATTAATTGTCTTGAATAGAGTTGAGGTTGAGGATATCAAGATTTTAAGAGTTTCTAGTTGAATTTCTTATCTTGGAAAGAATTGAGGGATATTATGATAACTTGAAAAAAATCTATGTTCAACCGCGTCGCAAGTATATTTCGCGAGCGGGGTAAATTTCACTACTCTCATGGGAGCGGGTCGTTCACCTCGCCATGTTAATAGATGCATCTATGGTTCGTGTCGTTCGACCCTCGGCAGTGCACACAATTAATATTTATATATATATTTGGATCAGGTCATACGTCCTCGGCATAATTCGTGCGTGATAATACTGAAGCCCTCTTATATTTGATATTGTTTAACTGACTTGAGAGGTTAAATAGTTAAATTGAGGGAAAGGATTTGGTTTTTACTAAGGTAAAAGTATTGTTTAATTATTCTTGCTCCGAGTTCTATTGTCATCTATATATATCATGTTTAATTAGAATTTCACAGTATATTAAATTGTTGGCCCATAGTAAGTGTCGAAGTCGACCCCTCGTCACTACTTCTTTGAGGTTAGACTAGATACTTACTGGGTACATGTTGTTTATGTACTCATGCTACACTTCTGCACTGAATGTGCAGGATCTGAGGTAGGTGCATCTGGATATCAGTCTGGTGCGCACACTTGATTACCACTTTGAGGCTTCACGGAGAGCTGCCTTCTGAGCCCGTTCTGCAGCCGCAGGAGTCTTTCTTTTGATTGTATTTTTCTGTCTATTTCACTTCGGATAGTAGACTAGTATTCTTTTGTATATTCTACTAGATGCTCATACACTTGTGACACCAGGTCTTGGCACACACTAGTAGACTTGCTGTTTTAGTTTTATTCTATGATTATGATTGCACACAGTTGCTTTCGTGTTATTTATTTTAGATCTGTTATTTCACAAATTCTTTTTAAATTAAGGAAAGTTTAATTACTTGGAAAAGAATTTGTTAAAAAGAGGAAATCACATGACTAGTTCACAGTTGGCTTGCCTAGCGGCGGCGTTAGGCGCCATCACGGCCTATTATGAAATTGGGTCGTGATAGGGGAGGTATCAAAAAGTCCCTCATGACGAAGATCTGAGTGCGCAGGTTATTGAGCTACCCACAGGGGCTGCATTTTCGGAAGAAAAGGTTCGCGAGGTTTGGCATCAATGTAGGTTTTTGGAGCCACAGACTGAGGTGCGGGATTTATCATCTAGTGAAGTAGAGTCTAACTACACAGCATGGTATGGAAAGAGAGCCCGGGTCGATCAAGAGCCAGTACAACCCGCCAAAAGGCCCCATGTCCAACAATTCACTGACGGGGTACAAGAAAAGTGGGTCTGGTTAGCCAAAAAGAAGGAATACCGGGCCACCATTAGCAAGTTAGAACATCATGTCAGAACTATCAAATTTGAAAGTGGGTTACAATCCGCTGAAGATGAGGGAGAAAAGAAAATCTTATCGCGAGAAAACGAAGCCCTTCGAGCACAACTCCGGGAAATGAAAATAGTTGCCGAGACATCGGTAAGAAGTGAGAGGGATGAAAAAATCATAAACAACTTGAGGCGAAAAGTGCATGACTATGCGACCGACCTGACAAAGGCCGAGAAAGATTTGGCAAAAGCTCGGGTGAGGGTGGAGAAAGATCCAAAAGAGAAGACAAAGTCATCCCGCCAGTTAAAGCAAAGATATGATAGAGAAGTCATAATTTTAAAGAAAGAGCTGGTCACCCTCGAAAACGAAATGGGTCAGCATGTAAAGGACTTCAAGATAGAAAGAGACCATTGTTATGCACTGATTAATCAATTGGAAGAGAGTGTGTTGAAGTTGCAAGACCAAAACAACGAGGCTATGCAAATAGTCGAAGTTCGGGAATAACAAATCGGGCGATTGCTCCAGGAGAAAGGCGTTATCAAGCTCAGAATCAAAGAAATAGCTGACTACACGGTAATGAAATGCCATAAATGTGAAAATATGACTCGAGCTATGTTCTTTGCTTCGGTATTGTCTTTCTCTCACCATGTCATGGCCGACCTAGAGTTCCTTCAGGAAGAGCTTGCCCGCAGTCCCGCGCCGAGACCGGCTGATGTCCCGCGGGCCCCCGAAATAACATTTGAGGCCCATCTGTGTTCTTGATTGTTTCAGTCTTTGAGTCTGTATTTTACTTTTTCCTTGCGTTAAGTCTGTTTGTCTTTTCGTCCATTTCGAGTCTGTTGTTATTTTGTTTTGAGTCTGTATGTTTTTCTTTTTCAGTTATCAATGTCTTCGAGTCTTTGTTATGAAAAAACCAAAAAGATTTTGTTAATGAAATATTTGAAAATCCCCCAAAAAATTTCTTTACTTTCATTATGCATTTATTTACCTGAACTACATAATGGTCTTATTCATGCGGCATCATGATACGTAGGCAATCCCCATCGGATTCATTCATAGCCATAATTAATCTAAGTGAAAATAAAAAAAAGAGAAAATTGAGAGGCAATAAGTGAAAGAAAAAGAAGAAAAGTGTGATAAAGACAAATGAGAAAACCAGGAATGACAAAACAAATGATAAAGAAAGAGTGGAAGTGAAAGAAAGGAATTACAGAGTGAAAAAGAGATAGTGAAAGTCGGTATGAAACACGCAGCCGTTGTAAAATAATTGTAGAAGCGTTTAGCTGTTCAGATGCATTGCATCCCCAATGTGCGATTCCCTATCTGTTAAATATCTCAAAACTGACAAGGGTGTTATGTGTGCAAATTTAGCCAGGTCTTGTTCAGGTGGTTCGTTTTGTCGGTAATTTGGCTTCTCACCCCTATTTTACAAGATCCAAAGGAAAGGTTCCAATGGCTTCAGAAAATAATCTCTGCATTATTAACACTGAGGATAGCCTTGAGCTGGCTATTTCACAACTCGAGTCGGCAATTGTCGAAGAAATCAAGATGTTGTGTCTCCGCATGTTGGAAATGTGGGACGCCTCGTCCAATGGTAGGGAACCGCCAAGCACAATTCCTGGGTTCCCTGAGCAGGTCCCAAGAATGGTTGGAACCACCAACATCCCTATGACTAACCCATTTGTCCCATTTGGGTACCCTTGTACATCATCCAACTTCACCGGTATGCCTTCTGTGGTCTGCCCCCAGGCACCATTGTCTGGAGCACAGTCAATGTTGTTCTTTGCACCACCGGTTTTCACCATGGCACAACCAACCGTGCCTAGGCCATGCTTTGAACCTTCAACATTCATTTCAAAGGCCCGCAATTTCAGTCTGACCTGACTCATGTTACTCTAGACTCGTACGCTCAACAGCCACAATATGAGTCCCCGATTGAGCAAGAAAGAACAGTTAGGAATCCCGAGTAGGAAGAAATAGCTCGGAAGATAAGAAGCTTGGAACAAAGCTTGAAAAATATGCAAGGCCCGAGTGGCCAAAAAAGTGTTTCCTATTCGGATTTGTGCATGTTCCCAAATGTTCATTTACCTGCCGGTTTCAAAATGCCAAAGTTCGAGAAGTATGATGGGCACGGAGACCCAATTGCTTATTTAAAGAGATACTACAATCAGCTGAGAGGGGCTGGTGGGAAAGAAGAGTTGTTGATGGCCTACTTCGGAGAAATCTTGGCAGGAATCACCTCGGAATGGTACATGGATCAAGAAATCTCCCACTGGCACATATGGGACGATTTGGCCTAAGATTTTGTCAGACAATTCCAGTATAACGTAAACATCGCTCCAGACAGAAACTCCCTATCTAATTTGAAGAAGAAAACCGCGGAAAGTTTTCGCGAGTATTCTATCAAATGGCGCGAGCAGGCCGCCAGAGTAAAACCGCCCATGGACGAAACAGAAATGGTTACAGTCTTCCAGCAAGCATAGGAGGCTGATTACTTCTAGAATATGATGTCCACTACGAGCATGCCATTTGCTGAGGCCATCAAGATTGGGGAGATGGTAGAGAACAGTCAGAAAACTGGCTAGATATTGAGTCAAGCTACCTCCCAAGCTATCCAGAATGGTTTAGGGGGTTTAAGTAATCGCAAAAAAGAGGGATGAAGGAGCCATGATGGCTTCAGGTTCAAGAGGGCCTCGCCGATCATTTGACCACTCTTATATGCCACCAAGAACCCCACAACACTATTACCCACATCAAGATGCAGCTTATGCTGTGGTACCGCCCCACTATGTGGTGATGAATGCCCAACCTTACACACGGCCTCAACAGCATAACAACCAAACCCGAGCTCCACATCCCAGAAATAACCATCCCTACCAAGCTCCATATAATCCTCACCCAGCACAAAATGCACACCAACATAATCCACGCCATCGTGAGCCTCCTAGGAAAAATAATTTCACCCCTATTGGTGAATCTTACTCCAGTCTGCTTCAGAAATTAATCCAACTGGGTCTATTACAACCTATGCCTCCCAATCGGCAAAATCCTGAGTCTCCATCATACAGGGTCGGTACCAGGTGTGCATACCATTCAGGAAGGGAAGGCCATGACACAGAAAATTGTTGGGCCCTCAAAAGGGCGATCGAAAATCTTATCGAAGAAAAATTAATTGTGCTAAGGGACGAAGAAATCCCTAATGTGACCAACAATCCATTACCGGCTCACAATAATGGGCCAGCCATTGGTATGATTTTTGATGACAAAGCGTTTGAGCCAGCATTGAAGAACATTGTTGCCATCGCCAATTCAGAGGCAAGACCTAAAACAGCGGTGAATTCGGCCAAAGCCAAAAAGAAAGTTGCTCCAGTTCCTCAAGATGTTGAAACAAAGATTGGGCCAGCACCTGCCAAGAACTTTGTATTCTATGTTCTTAAGGCCCCGAGAAAAGAACAACTTATCCTCAATACTTCCAAGAAATCTGATGAAAGGAAGGCGGCATTGAGTGTGCCAAGACTGTATGTACCAAAGGGGACCTATGTGGCGTGGGGGCCGGTAATTTCATCAAGGCTGACTGAGCCCGTGGTTATCAGCCTCGCACCACAGAGTTCTATAAAAGATCCCACCGCAGTTCCCTGGAACTACAACAGAACCGTGATTACATATAAAGGGAAAGAGGTTATGGGAGAAGTTAACGAGATGAATCAATCTGGGAAGTACCACACCCCAGAAGAGCTAAAGAATTTAAAACTGAACAGGGATAAACAGATGTCGTCCAAGAAGCCTATAAGCAATGAGGAAGTAGAAGAGTTCTTCAAAAAGATGAAAACTTCTGAATATTCAATAGTTAACCAACTTCGGAAGACTCCTTCCCAGGTCTCACTCTTATCTCTGCTGCTGAGTTCGAATGAACACCAGAAAGTGCTCCTCAAAACACTGAATGAAGCATACGTCCCGGTTGATACTTCTATCAAACAATTGGAAAGAATGGCCAAAAGATTCTTTGAGATCAATAGGATTTCCTTCAGCCACGATGATTTTCCCCAGAGGGAGCCACCCACAACAAAGCCCTCCACTTGACTATCAAATGTGAGGGCTATTATGTGAAAATAGTGATGTTAGATGGTAGGTCCGGGGTCGATATTTGCCCTCTCTCAATACTCCAGAGAATGGATATTGGAACAGAAAGAATCCGGGATAACAACGTCTGTGTACGAGCTTTTGATGGGGTCAAGAGAGACACAATAGGGGAAATTGATCTGATTCTGACTATTGGCCCCGTGGATTTTGAGGTGACCTTCCAGGTGTTGGACATGGAAACCTCATACAATTTCCTGCTGGGTAGACCAGCAACACTTCACCAAATGGTCAAGTTTGAATATGAAAATCAAGAAATTGTTGTCCACGGAGAAGATGAGCAATCCATCTATCGGGACCCTTCAGTCCCGTGTCTTGAAGCTAGGGAAGGCAGTGAGCATATTGTGTACCAAGCTTTCGAAATTGTGGTCGCCGACAAATTTGAAGAAGGGGCCCCATTACCTCATCCTTGCTTGTCTAATGCTTCGGTCATGGTCACCACCCAAATGATTAGACATGGGTACAAGCCTGGAAAGGGGATCGGGTTGTCTCTGTAGGGCATCACTGAGCATGTTACCCCAATCGCCAATGAGAAGTATTTCAGTATGGGTTTCCGAGCTACAGAGGCCGACAGAACATGGGTAAATAAGCGCAAAAGAAAACGGGTGGGTCCTATCCCAACCCATTCCACATCTCGCCCAATCATTTGTCAAACCAAAGTATGTGGAAAAAGAAGAGGAGGCTTTCACGGCTGAAGAAGTCGATGATATTTGCGAAGGCTTGAAACAAATGCTATATGAGTCCCACATGGTCTAGCCATGGGAAGGCATGAGCAATGCCGAGGTGCAGTATATGCGGCCAGATTTCAAGCTCCAGAACTGGGAGGCTACCCTATTTCCCATAAGGCGGGAGTCCTGGTAGTTCAGTCTTGCCATCTCTTCTACATTACGAGTTATTTCAGGGTGTAACTCGAGTGTTTTACTGTATTGTCTTTTTAGTCTAATGTAAACCCTCATATCTTCAACTCAATGAAATGGAATCAATATTTCATCGTCCATAGATGTCTCTTTTCTTTTGTTCTGATTTTGCTATTTTTTCTTATCTTTTTTATTTTTAGTTCTAATAATGCAGACTTAAATAACATGATATACTTGCGGACTTCATACCAGATCCTAAAATGATGTCTAACTTTAAAATAATGAATCAAGAGCCAGAATATAATGAAGATGAGGATTTTAGGGAAATAAATCGAGAATTAGAACAATTTGAGAATAAACCTAAGCCAAACTTAAATAAAATCGAGCCGGTTAATTTAGGCAGTTTAGAAGAGATCCGAGAAACTATGATAAGAATTCACGTTGATGAAAGAACCAGGGGCGCCTTGATCCAACTTTTGTTTGAATTCAAAGACGTGTCTTATGATGATATGTCAGGACTGAGCGTTGATTTGGTGGTGCATAAATTGCCTACCTATCCCGGTTATCCACTTGTCCAATAGAAGCAAAGAAAGTTCAAAACCGATATTAGTAATAAGATCAAGGAAGAAGTCATGAAACAACTGAAAGCTGGTGTGATCCGAGTGGTCCCAGTGCCGAAGAAAGATGGAAAAACCCGAGTGTGTGTTGATTACCGGGATTTGAACAAGGCGAGTCCCAAGGACATCTTTCCACTGCCAAACATCCACATTCTTGTTGATAAATATGTTAAACATGAGATACAGTCTTTCGTGGATTATTATGTTGGGTATCACTAGGTTATGATGGATGAAGAAGATGCTGAAGAGACTGCTTTCACCACACCTTGGGGCACTTACTGTTACAGTGTCATGCCATTTGGTTTGAAAAACGCCGAGGCAACTTACATGAGAGCTATGACTACCATCTGCCATGACATGATGAACTAGGAAATTGAGGTATATGTGGATGATGTGATCATTAAATCCAGAACGCAAGAAGACCATGTGCGAGATCTGAGGAAGTTCTTTGAGCGGCTGCGCAGGTATGACTTGAAATTGAACCCAGCTAAATGTGCATTCGGAGTTTCATCTAGGAAACTTCTAGGGCTTATAGTCAGTTGGAGGGTATCGAATTAGATCCAACAAAAATAAAATCTATTCGGGATTTTCCCCCCTCCAAGGACCAAGAAAGAGGTTATGAGCCTGCTAGGAAGGCTAAATTACATCAGCAGATTCATCGCTCAGCTTACCACCACTTGTGAGCCCATATTCAAGTTGTTAAAGAAAGATGCGGCAATTAAATGGATAGATGAGTGTCAAGAAGCTTTTGATGAAATCAAAGAATATCTGTCAAATCTGCCAATGTTGGTTCCACCCGAGCCAGGAAGACCTTTGTTCTTGTACCTGACAGTCTTGGAAAATTCTTTTGGTTGTGTCCTAAGGCAAAACGATGTGACCGAAAAAGGAGAGCAAGCCATATACTATCTGAGCAAGAAGTTCACTAGTTATGATGCCAAATACACTTTGTTGGAAAGAACTTGTTGCGCCCTAACTTGGGTCGCCCAGAAGCTCAGACATTATCTGTTGGCTTACACAACATATCTCATAACCAGGATGGATCCTTTGAAGTATATATTCCAGAAGCCAATGCCCACTAGAAGGTTAGCAAATGGCAGATCCTGCTCACCGAGTTTGAAATTGCCTATGACAACCACACGACAATGAAAGCCCAAGTCTTGGCGGATCATATAGCTGAGAACCTGTTCGATGATGAATACCAACCATTAAGCACTTATTTTCCAGACGAGGAAGTGAACTCAATTGAATTAATTCCAGAGAATACCAATGCCAAGAAAATATTCTTTGATGGGGCAGTAAAAGCAAAAGGCGTCGGGATCGGAGCAATTCCGATTTCACCCACAGGTCAACACTATCCGTCCATAGCCCGGCTCCGATTCTTCTGTACAAACAACACCGCCGAGTATGAAGCCTGCATCATGGGCATGAATATGGCAGATGATCTGGATGTAGAGGAATTATTAATTATGGGGGATTCTGATTTAATCATTCGGCAAGCCCAAGGCGAGTGGGAAATTCGAGACATAAAACTCATCCCGTACATGCAACATGTGAAAGATCTCAGCAAACGGTTAAAGTTCGTCGAGTTCAAGTATATCCCTCGAGTCCACAATGAGTTAGCTGATACACTAGCTACTTTGGCCTCAATGCTGCCGTACCCGGGTAATGTTCATATTGACCCGCTGGAAATCCAGGTTCGAGAAAGGCATGATTATTGTAACATAGTTGAAATAGAGCTAGATGTTCAGCCATCGTATCATAATATCAAAAGGTTTTTGAAAACAAAAGAATACCCCGAGCAGGCTAGTGGAGACCAAAAGAGAACTATCAGACAAGCAGTTTCTTTTTGAGTGGAGAGGTCCTATACAAAAGAACTCCAGATCTGAATCTTTTGAGGTGCGTAGATTCTCAAGAGGCTGAAAATATCATGAACGAAGTGCATTCAGGAGTATGTAGGCCTCACATGAACGGGTATGTCCTTGCAAAGAAAATCCTCCGGGCAGGTTATTACTGGATGACCATGAAAAAAGATTGTTTCAGTTTCGTCTGGAAATGCCATCAATGCCAGATACACGACGACCTGATTCATGCACCGCCTTCAGAGTTACATCCTATGTCAGCACCTTGGTCGTTCGTTTCCTGGGGCATGGATGTTATTGGGCCAATCGAGCTGAAAGCTTCAAATGGGCACAGATTCATCATGGTTTCCATTGGTTATTTCACAAAGTGGGTCGAATCAGTCACTTTCAAAGCCGTCACCAAGAAAGCAGTGGTGGACTTCGTGTATTGCAACATTATTTGTCATTTTGGTATTCCTAAAACTATCATTATTTGTCAACCGATGTCCATCGCTCCAAAACTAGTCAAATAATGTGCAAACCTATAAAAATATACTCTAATACTCATAACAAATTAATTTAGACAAATTCCCAACTCTGCTCGTAAAGACGATAAAGCAACCCTCGAGCCCACGTGCCCGGATTCCGAAAATATTCGAAGATAAACATTACCCATAACATTACGAACTCAAATATATGATTTATTCTCAATTCCATGCCCAAATTCGTGGTCAAAATCCAAAAATACCAATTTCTAGGTTTTCTACCAAAATCCCAAATTTTCCACAATTTTTCCATGAATTTCCATGTTAAAATCTATATATAATCCATGTATTTAACTTGCAATAGGTGGGAATCACTTACCTTGATATACATGATGAAAGTCTCCTTATCAAAAGCTCCAAAAATCGCCCACCCAAGTAAAAAATGAGAGGAGATGAGCCAAACCCCGCATTAAAACCAATCTGCTAAGGCCCGCCCTTCTTCGCGATCGCGGGAATGCCTTCGCGATCGCGAAGGCTAAACACACTGCCTCCACATTTTCCTCTACGCGTTCGCGACCCAATGGCCATGTTCGCGAACCTGGTGACTCCTACCCTTTGCGTTCGCGGAGGCTTAATGCCTGGCAAGCCCCCTACTCATTTCCTCTTCGCGTTTGCGTGCGCGTTCGCGTAGGCTTCCAGTACCTCAGCTTCACGTTCACGTCTCTCCCATCGCGTTCGCGATGGGAAAATCCAGCAGCCCCCAAAAGTCTCCTTCACGAACGCATGAATCCCTTTGCGTTCGCGAAGAAGGAATCCAGATAGCAGCAATCAGCAGTAGCAAATCATTCCAATTTGGTCCGAAACACACCCAAGGCCCCCGAGACCCCATCCAATCACACGAACCAGTCCCATAACATAACACAGACCTGCTCGAGGTCTCAAATCACCTCAAACCACGTCAAAACCATGAATCGCATCCCAATTCAAGCTTAATGAACTTTAGAACTTCAAACCTCTATATTCGATGCCGAAACCTATCAAATCACGTCCGACTGACCTCAAATTTTGCACACAAGTCACATTCGACATTACGGACCTACTCCAACTTCCGAAATCAGAATCCGACCCCGATATCAAAAAGTCCAC